TTCTTATTAATTCACATAACATATTAGCCCATTATTCTTGTCTATGTTAGCCATGTGGCTCGGTACCTTATTTAGCGAGGCAGTCACCTCTTGCTTCTTCTGTGGGCTGGGTCACAACTGCTGTAAATTATCTAGCTTATATCGATATGCACATTTTTACTTCGTGTTGGTTTTGTTTCTCACTAATCAGATGACAAAGATAAGTTCATTAGAGTGAAGCGGTAGGGGGTATGGATGGCTTTATAATTTCTAGAGGAGGATGAGCCTAATTTAAATTTTCAGTTTTCTTCCTTGAATGAGTTTCTCTTTGAAAAGACAATCCAGGCTGGGCCTTGGTGGCACAGGCCTTTAACCCCAGAGGCTGGTAGATCTCTTTGAGTTCAAGGTCATTCTGGTAACAGGACAAAACAAACAAACAAAGCCCCACAGAAACTCCGCCTGTGGAGACCCTCCCTCTTTAGCAGAAAGTCTGGTAGAGCAAGGAATCATGTTTCCCGCTAGTGCTGCATGCCTGGTATTCATACGTACGCTGGAAAATGGGCCTTCAGTGCACTGATAGCTGGTGTTGCATTGTATGTTAGGCATGAGGATAAGATCTACAACCACATGTGTACTGTACTCAATTATATAAGTTGTGTTTATGACACATAGGAAATGTGTATTTATATTAATATAAAATAAAATGATCGATCAACTTCCAGGTAGTGAGAGGAAGTGTTGGGACCCCTCAGAAGCAGAGGAACCAGGACAGAAAGGTCTAGATGGTTGGAGGTCCTAGGGGTGCTCAGCCCACTCTGTGCGGTCCTTAGCAACCTACCCTGTGCAACCCAAATGCTGACCACAATGTTTCCATCTTTGCATTCTGTTGTCTGTTTCAATAAACAAAACACTCATTAGTTTTCTGTTGCGGTGTCAGCCGAGGAGACACAGTCTCACAAATCCGACAAGGAAGTCGCACACACTTTAATTGCACTGAGTTCTGGTGCAGGACGGTCCACGTGTAATTTCCAAGCCACCAGAACTGCAGAGTGAAACCCTGTCAAAGGAAAGAAGAAAGATTTAAGTTCAAAGATAAGCGAGGCTGTGTTCCCATCTGCCTGGCAGCTAGTGCAGCAATGTTATGGATGAGTGAGAGGAGGCGCTTGCAAAATGCAAAAAAAAAAAAAAAAAAAAAAAAAAAAACAAAGACACTCTTCAAATGAGAACAAGTAGCCCCACTGTGCTTTGACTGCTGCCTGCCTGCTACTGTACACTTTCACACACATACACATACAAACACACGCATGCACATGCACACATTCACTAAATAGGATTTTTAAAAGTTTATTACAGGGTTCACCTCTTTTCCCCCACCCTTTAATTTCTTATCTAAGAGACAATCTGAGACGTTTTAGGTTTCTCTTTGCCGTCTATCTTTTGTTTGTTTGGGTTGGTTGGTTCTGTGTTTTTTCACTAATCATTTTTCATTCTCAAGGTGGGAGGTCTCCGGCATAAATGCTGACAATTTCTTGTGAGCCAAATGCAGATTCACCTCCACCCTCTGCACTAAACCCGAGTCACTCACAAGGGTCGCTAGCTAGTCCTGACCATGACCGCTTCTAAGTGTCTAAGCCATGAAGACTGATGGCCAAGCTGTTTCATTAGGCACAAATCTCAGTTACCTCCAGTGATAAGAATTTGCCTAAAACCTGCAGAGAAGGAAAATGTGGTATTGGCACACAAACCCCGGTTCTTCCATTTACCAGAAAGGTACTTTAATCAGCTATACCACAAGGCTTCCACAAGCTATGATCTATGATAATACAGTATATTATAAAATTCTGTTGTGCCCGTGTCATGAGACCCCCAAACAAGACCACCACAGAGCTGTTATCTGATGCAAACACAAAGGGGTTTATTGATTGCAGGTCTGGGCTTAGTCCACTGTCCAGCGATGAGTGGAGGAGAGCCGCCCTGAGCATTTACAGGTTAGGGTTTATATAGGGAAAACCACAAATGGGCACAGCCTTCCTTGTCAGAGGGTTTTGCGGTAGCTGACGTTTGATTGAAAGGGAAGTACAGAATTGAAGATTCAAGTAGTTAAAAATACATCAAGCGTGGTTGAGGCGTGTGGTTAGTAGCTGTCATTAGTCATGTGACATTACCCTCCTCAGTCATACCTAGGGTGAAGTTCAACTCGTTTTGGGAACTTGGGGTCATGGAGAAGGCATGAGAAGGGTGGTCTTAGTTTGGTTCAAATTTGACCCTCATAATTCCTTGCCCAAACTCAGACTTTATTTTTTCAGTTACTGAAACATGAGGGGATCGCCCTTATGTCATCCGTTTCATCTCCGCCCATCAGACCCTACAGTTTTCTGTGTCACATGGGAAATGCTCTCAGCCTCCTTCACTCGGACTTGGTACTGGGGTTACGGGATCTAAACAACATCAACAGATGAGATTTCTTGAGTTCAGTTCCTTGGGTAAGGAATCTTCAAAGAACATCCTTCCAAATTTGAATTTCCAGCTACTTAAGATGAAAGCGACTGGCCCCCAACATAAAGCAAATGCACCACAAAAACAAACGAACAAACAAGCCAGCAAACAACGACCGGCACCGTCGTCAGAGTGGCACACCTGCAACCCTAGCATCTGGAGGCAGTAAAACCTCAGATTTTAGACCACCCAACATACGCCTGGCCTAGCTTGCTCAAGCCCTGGCTTTGATTAGAGCCTGCTGGCGCATTCTTGTGCCAGCATTGTTAGAGTGCAAGCAAAGGCAGGGAGATCTCTATGACTCTGAGGTCAACCTTGGTGTACTTAGCGTGAGGTTGTACATCCTATAACCCCAAGCCTGTGGAGCAGGAGGTTTCCTGACTCTTCCCCACCACCAGTGACTTTTCTTTGGAAATCAAGGAAAAAATAAAGATTTTTCTAGAATGTTAGAGGTGATCATGAAGAGCGATTTCTTTTTTTTTATTATTAAAATTTTTATTAAAAATTTCCACCTCCTCCCATTTCCCTCCCCTCCCCCCAACCCTGAAGAGCGATTTCTTAAGGCACAGTAAAAAAAATTCGCCGTCAGTCATCCTGTTCCAACAAAAATCTACAGGAAAAACAATTCAGCACAGGTGTATCGATTTTAGTAGAGAAATATGTTTAGCGGGAGGCTACCTTGGCACTGGGATGGCCGAGTGGTTAAGGCGTTGGACTTAAGATCCAATGGGCGAATGCCTGCGTGGGTTCGAACCCCACTCCCAGTAGGACTAGGTGTGGTTATTATGCGTTCGTGTGCCCTTTAGTAATTTTGAAGCACACCTTAACCCATAAATAAGAGTGTTATTTATTTTGTGTTTATTTACTTATTTTGCAACAAGCCCTCCCCCGTAGCTCGGGCTGGTCTCGCTTCCGATCCAGCTCGTCCCCAGCTCTCAGGCATCGGACACAGCGGCTCCATCTTCACGTTTTGCCACAGGCAGTCGCCTGTGCACGATTTTCAACCACCGTCCTCTCAGGTTTCCCAAGTGAGGGATACCTAGCCGCCATTATTGGCTTGCTGAGTTTTTAACCTTCTAAGAGGACTAACTGAGCCTTTGTACTTTTTGTCCTTACAGAAATAAGCTCCGGTTCTCCGCAGTTTGCAGACCCAGAATTCCCTAAACGAAGAAAATGCTGGGTCTCCCTGATGGGCGCTTGCTAAAATATCTAATGACAGTTTTACTGTTAGCCTTTCTCCCATCCTTCCTCAGAGGGACCTATATCCCTTTAACTAGGGTAACTGTTTATAGGGGAAGAAGCAGTCGTGCTTTCTAGGGGCCATTGGATACTGGTTCTGAATCGGCGCTTGTTGAGGTGGGCAAAGATGAAACAAGTGGCTGGTCTTCAGTTAACGCAGGCATTTAGAGAGGCCAGTTGCGTTGTCTGAAGTCCGCCTTTCAGCATGTTCCCCAGCTTTTGACCAGCTTTGCTCTGAGAAGCTGAGGCGGTGTAGATGCAACAGGGGCTTGAACAGATAATGATTTTCCCTGATTTAGGGACGGCCTGGCCTCCCAGGTCATTGAGGCAAGCTCCCAGCATTTTGCCACCTCTAGTGGATAACGCGCTCCTCAGCAAACAAATGAAACTGTACCACCGTTGGATCTGCCTTCCTGGACCTCAGCGGCCTCTCTGGCGTTCTCAGAGTTTGTACTGCTGTTGTCTCCAGGACCACCCTCAAATTCCTGCTGAGAGCGAGTGCACAGGGACACTTACTGACCAGAAGGGGAAGAGCTAGTTCAGAGGCCCTGTCTACTTCCTGTACCTCGAAGAAGCAAATAGGTGTCCTCCGCCCTTGCTGACTGGGTGCACAGCTAAAAACCACAAACACCCCCCACAAACTTCATTTGAATCACAGATGGTTAGTGTCTTCCAGAGGTTTGGCTCCTGCCAGGGTAGAGTCTTCTACAGCAAAGAGTGGACTTCCAGGAAGGTGCCCAAGAATGAGAGTTGGGGCCAGGGGGTGAGGGTCGGGTTGTGGGGGCTGAGAGGAGCCTTTCTTCCCACAGGCGAGTCTTTAAACAAAACTGGGAAAGTATAGAGCCTCAGTTCCACCTTTGACACAGTCATGTTTGGAATTCACCTGCAGGGAGACCTTCCTATCTGTGGAGCTCTTCCAACACGTGTTCTGTGAGTGGATCTGCACTTGCCTAGAGGCAAAGGAAACTGGGAAGAAAGAAGCAGAATGACTTCCAACCAAACAGACATAATCAATCGTAGGTTCTCGGCTGATCAAAGCAGACAGGCAAAATCATATACATCCAGAGGTGGTCTTGACCTCCTGCTGCGAGCCACTCAGGGAAAGACGAGCTAAGAGACAAGAATTAGACTTTGAGGCAGCGTGAGAAGGGGTAACAGATGGAATTGGATACCCAAGCCCAGATAAAGGGAAACCGGTACAGATCCCAGCGAGAAAGACTGGGACGTCAGAGTTAATATTTGGGGAATGGAAGGAGCTCTCGATGAGAACGACGGTTAAAACAAACTCGGAAAAAGACCTGTCAGCTGGGTTCAGTCTCTGCCATTGTATCAGGATGCTGCAGTCTACAGAGTTCCCACGACGGGACCACGCAGCCCTGCAGTAGGCTTATAAAAAGCAAAGAGATCTCATTAAGTTTTAAATAAGTTTGTGGTTTTGGGTTGTGGCACATTCATGGCGGTCTTCAGAGGCGGGGAGGGAGGGGCTGCAGGGAGTGGGCGTGGCTTGTCTCTTAAAGTGATGAACAATCATACCAGCGGAGAAAATAGGCATTTCTTTAAAATGCACATGAGTATTCTTTTCCAGGAACAAGGAGACACCAGGAATGTGCCCTTCCTCACTCAGCACCAAAGCATGGTTTCCAGCAATTGAGGAGGCTCCTTGCAGTATTTACTTCTGACTGTGGGCCTGCTTGGACGTGTAAGCTCGCATTTCTATGGACAGATAAAACTAACGCTGCTTGTGAAAGTGTGTGGTGGGCGGGTGTAGGGGTAAGTTTCAAGGAATAATATTACTCAATAATGAAAACCTAGATGATTCCACCAAGATATGAACTCAGATCTCTGGATCCAAAGCTCGACCACTAACCATTACACCCCAGGGCCAGCAGGTTCCTTGTCCTACTGAGAGATTTTCCTGGGGAAACAACTCATCCCTGAGATACCTCTGACTGTAGATGTTATTTTCAATGAACCTCTACTGCCCTCTGGAGGCAGGTGTTGACGATACAGCCCTGATTTACCGCTGACTGCAGATGTTAAAGGTCATTTTCAATGAAGCTCTACTGCCCTCTCGAGGCAGGTGTTTTGTGTCTCGGGAGCATAAAATTGACATTTTATGCAAGGAGGTCAAAGAGGCTGAAGTCCTGCAGTGTCAAGGACAATTCTGCCACGTGGAATGATCCCGAGGCCCTTCCATCATTGGTGAACGTTTTGTCAAGTGTTCTGGGGAATCCTGTTCGGCAGTGAAATCCTTGGTCGCCTGTGCCTTCCACTGAAGCATCCCCTCAGATGCAGGGCAGGACACATGGCATTTTATTCTGACATGAAGCTTCACACCTGCAAACTGGCTGTCCTGGGAACTCATTTTTCCAAATGTGAGCTATCAGATGGCAGATGTGACTCTCTGTAGGAGGTCTCTGTAGCGGTGGGTTGTCCTTCTGGGTGTCGGAGTACACTGTCAACACCAGTCTCCAGATGTGCGTGGGCAAATCTCAAGCCTCTTTCCACCCGAGTCTGCAAATCTCCAGCTGTGTTCACTGACCTCAGAATCCGGGATTATGATGCAAAGTTGTCCGGAATTATAATACAAGAAAATCCAGGGTTATGATACATGCTGGATTTAAATCAGCAAGTTTTGGATTGACATGTAAGAGTAACCAGAAGAAAGCCCCAAACAGTAATCATATCTCAATATTCACTGTGTAGATAGCACTGATCCACCACCCTCTCACTCCTGCCCTCCCCTCCGTGGATCATTGGACTTCAGAGGCTATAGACTCCTGATGGGATTATTTAATGTGTCACAGAGCTCCCCAGATGAAGCCTGTTTCAATATTGTGGACCCTGGGTCTGTAAGAGTTGAAGTTTTTTATTTTAATTTTTTATTAAGCATAAGACTATGATTTGGTCTAAGAAAATATCTCAATATACACCTTGTAGTATTCTGTGTGTTTGTTTTAAAATGGCCAAACCGTTACTTCCTGCACCTCTTCGGTGGTGGTCCGAGTCCCAGTTATGTGTGCAAGAGAGATGTCCTACCTGGGGCTGAGAACTTCCCTGGCATGTAGTCTTCGTGTTTTGACAAGTCGTTGAGTTTCTGTTAACCCTGTCCACAGCACAAAGAAACTTCTCTGATGAGGTCTGAGAGCTACACTAACCTATGGGTAGGAAGTTAGAATTTAGAGGGCAGCTTAACCCTGTGTTCAATTACTGAATAATACTGTTAAAATTAATAATTTTAGGTTTTCTTTTGGGGCCTTACTCTCTAGCGTACAGTCCACAAGTTTTTTACCTGGGTCCAGTAACTAACGGACGCCCAGGAACTTACCTGCCGCCTTGGCCTTATTTAGTTTTCCTTCACTTTTTGGAAAGGTATACGAGGCCGAGCGTCTGGGCAGGAGCCTTGTGGACACTTGGTGCCAGCAAACCCACAGGGACACACAGAACAGGCTGGATGCTTAAAAGAAAACACCCCCATATGCCCGAAATCCGCCTGTGCAACAACTTTTTCGCTGAAAATGTAGGTGGCTCTGAAAAGAGCCTTTGGGTTAAGAGCGAGGTCGGAGCACTCACTTGGAGCTGGTGTACTTGGTGACGGCCTTGGTGCCCTCGGACACGGCGTGCTTGGCCAGCTCCCCGGGCAGCAGCAGGCGCACGGCCGTCTGGATCTCCCGGGACGTGATGGTCGAGCGCTTGTTGTAATGCGCCAGGCGCGACGCCTCGCCCGCGATGCGCTCGAAGATGTCGTTGACGAACGAGTTCATGATGCCCATGGCCTTGGAAGAGATGCCGGTGTCGGGGTGGACCTGCTTCAGCACCTTGTACACGTACACCGAGTAGCTCTCCTTGCGGCTGCGCTTGCGCTTCTTGCCGTCCTTCTTCTGGGCCTTGGTCACGGCCTTCTTGGAGCCCTTCTTCGGGGCGGGCGCGGACTTCGCAGGCTCAGGCATGGCGACACAGTCTAGCAAAACTGCAACGGCGACTGGGCCGGGGCCTCCTTTTTTATGGGACGTTATTCAAATGAGGATTAGAAAAGCACACGTCTAATTGGGTAATATATGGGAGACGTCATGGTAAGCATTGTCCAATAGAAATACGCGATGACACGCATGCTTCCCATTGGTCTAAATGAAAAGAAAAAGGCAGCCAATCGGAAGGGTTCTTTTTCGCGCCCAGAGAAAACTATAAGGCCCAAGCTCTTGCGACTTTCGCATACCCAGTTGCTAACAGCTGTTCTGTTTCCAAGATGTCTGGACGCGGCAAACAGGGCGGCAAGGCTCGCGCCAAGGCCAAGACCCGCTCCTCCCGGGCCGGCCTGCAGTTCCCCGTGGGCCGCGTGCACCGCCTCCTCCGCAAGGGCAACTACGCCGAGCGGGTGGGCGCCGGTGCCCCGGTGTACCTGGCGGCCGTGCTGGAGTACCTGACGGCCGAGATCCTGGAGCTGGCTGGCAACGCGGCCCGCGACAACAAGAAGACGCGCATCATCCCGCGCCACCTGCAGCTGGCCATCCGCAACGACGAGGAGCTCAACAAGCTGCTGGGCCGCGTGACGATCGCGCAGGGCGGCGTCCTGCCCAACATCCAGGCGGTGCTGCTGCCCAAGAAGACCGAGAGCCACCACAAGGCCAAGGGGAAATAACTTGACAACCATCAGGACTTTCAGAAACTTCAGACCCAAAGGCTCTTTTCAGAGCCATCTACAATGTCTCTTAAAGCGCTGAACATTTTGTTTTTATACAGTGACACTTTTATATGCAAGTTCACTGGTGGTGTTTTACTTGTTGATTTATGTCCCCTGAACGGTGCTGCGATATTTGTGGACCTATGGTTAAAAACCGTAAAGTGTAAGTCGGGCGGTGATGCTGCACGCCTTTTCTCTCAGCACGCTACAGGCAGGGCCAGACGGATCTCTTGTTCCAAAAGAAGCAAAACACAAAACTGAGGTCTAGTCCTGTTTTCCCTGTCGGCTTCCCATCTGGAATTTAGCGTTATTAATCCCACGAATTAATACTTTTTGTGTGTGTGTGTACTTGACATCTATTTCAACTATGAGGGTTAAAGAATATAAGTTTTGACAATCTCGTGGTAGCAACTCAGGTGGCCACTTTAAGTTGCCTTCCGAGACAGGGTTTCTGTGTTGTATTCATGTCTGTCCCTTAGTTCACCGTGGCCTCGAGCTAGACATCCGCCTGCCCCTGCCTCCGGAGTGCTGGGATAAAAGCAAACGGGGCTAAAAAATCTTGGTTTGTTTGTTTTTCGAGATCGCGGTTCTCTGTGTAGTCAGGGCTGACCAAGCTGGCCAGATCCGCCTGCTCCTGCCTCCCGAGTGCTGGGATTGAAGGCTTGCGGCACACCGCCTGGCGCCTCTGTATATTTTATAATAAATTGTGTTTTATACCGACACGTCAGGGATCACATTGAACGAAAATTGTCAAAAGCTCTTTAAAAACTCGCAAACATTGCGCGCCTGACTCTAAGGTTGTTCGATACGTGTGAATTAAGTAAGCATGGTCCTATACAAATAATACTAAACAAGAATATTAAAAGATAGTGGGAATAGGTTCCTTTCCATCTCTAATCTGTAGCGTTAAATTGACGGTGAGGGCCCCTCCCCCAGACACGGGCAGTTCCCGCCACTGCGCTTCCAGTTTTCACTCCGGTCCGCACATTCCCTATAAGAGAGCCCTGCTGGCCTGTGCACGTCGTCAGTCGGGTTTTCTTCTTCTGCCTTAGCAATGTCTGGTCGCGGCAAGGGCGGGAAAGGCCTAGGCAAAGGCGGCGCCAAGCGCCACCGCAAGGTCCTGCGCGACAACATCCAGGGCATCACCAAGCCCGCCATCCGCCGCCTGGCCCGGCGCGGAGGAGTCAAGCGCATCTCCGGCCTCATCTACGAGGAGACCCGCGGGGTGCTGAAGGTGTTCCTGGAGAACGTGATCCGCGACGCCGTCACCTACACGGAGCACGCCAAGCGCAAGACCGTCACGGCCATGGACGTGGTCTACGCGCTCAAGCGCCAGGGCCGCACCCTCTACGGCTTCGGCGGCTGAGCTGCTTTCTGTGTAGCTGTTGATTGCTTTCTAAAGGTCCTTTTCAGGACCGACCACCTGTCTCTGAAGGGCTGCAGCATTGTCGTGAGCTCCCATTACCTTATCTTGTGCACAGTGAGTGCCTCCTGTTGCTGTGGTAATCGCGTTTAGCTGATGGCGTCTCCTGTATTAGTGTTTGTCCAACTTGTGCAGTTAAATGTAGGACCGCAGGTTTAGGCGTGTGCGTCTGCTCAAATGGCTTTAGATGTAGTTAATGAGTACCTGGTGGGACGTTGAAACGGTAATGAACTTCCAACAGGAGTGGCTTTCTTTCCAGAAAAAAAACTTGCTTTGTACCCTTTGCCATTCCACCAGGAGTCCCCCTACCGACTGACCTGGGTAACATGTCAAGAGAAAGGGCCCGGCAGTTGGGACACTTCATCCTTCAGATCTTAATGACATGCTCTTAATTAGGGGAGTAAAACGAACCCAACTCTCGGTAAAGGGACATCTCACTGCCACGGTCTTAGCAGGGTCAGCATTTTCTAACAGTTCCTGTGGAACTTTCATGCTCCACGGTTTCTCTTAATTCAGTCCATTGGGGAGCTCATCCGCCCAGGCACTAAACAGCATCTGTCCTTCAATGCCTTCTAATTTTATATCTCCTTTTTATCTCCAAAAACAAATTAAAGCAGAACCTCCAATCCCCCAACCACTTCTGCGCTGAAGCGATAGTTTATCTCTGTCTGGGTTCAAGGGCAGTCTGGTTTACTAGTCAAGTTCCAGTATAGCCAGAGCTAAATAACACTCTGTCTTAAGCCAAACAAAAAGAATCTAGAAATTACTAATGCTTATTTTCTGATCTAATGAAACATTAAATTGATGTAACAAACAGAAATATAAGATTATTTTTATTTTCTATTAGCTGGGCCAGGTGGCATATGTCTTTACTAAGTATTTATTCATGTGTATCTATACACAGGTGTCCATGGAAACAAGAAAGGGGTATAAGATTCCTAAACACAGGGTACAGGAGGTTATGAGCCCCTGATGGGTACTGGGAACTGCTCAGGTATTGGTATATGCTCTTAACCACTTAAGGTTAACTCTTAACCCTCTAGGCCCGTGATATAACAACTATTTCTTTTTTCTCTCCCTTTCACAGTCAAAAACCACATTTTGAAATAAGGGAACTATTAAAATATTAGTTGTATCTCAAGTTATCTTTGGAGTTTCCCAAATGACCACACCCATTACATTTCTTCCTCATTTTACAGAAGACATACTCAGTGTGTAAATACTCATACAATTGTGAAAACTGTTGTGTGTAGAAAGGGCAAATCACAACAGGAAGTTCACCAGAATAAACCTCATAAGTAAGAATGTTTACCTGGCAGAAACCTCATACCCCACCAGAGGCCAGGCTGGTATCCTGACACCAGGTATGATGTGGGATTCCCCTCTGTATGCTATAAGTATGTTTTATTACCATTGCTTATTAAAGAAACTGTTTCGGCCAATGGTTTAGTAGAGTAAAGCCAAGCAGAGCTAGAGGAGAAAGTAGGTGGAGTCAGTGAGACTACCACCAGCCAGAACCTTACTGGTAAACCACCAGACCGTGGTAAAATATAAAATAATAGGAATGTGTTAATTTAAGATGTAAGAGTTAGTTAATAAGAATCCTAAGCTAATAGGCTAAGCAGTGTTGTAATTCATATAGTTTCTGTGTGATATTTCGGTTATGGGAAGTCGGGAAACAGACAAGCAGCCTCCACCTACATAGGTAGGACCGCCTTCCAACCCACTCGTGGTCAACTAGCATAGCCAAAACGTCCCTTACTTCCTTGTCACTATATCCTGACCCATACCTCTGGTGAAAACCTCCTACCCCACCTGAGCCTGGCCTGCTCCCTGAAAACCAGGTAAGTTAATCTTTAGCCACAACTCCAGTCCCAACTTGGGCTGTAATGCCCTGCTGGACCAGTGGTCATCCAGCCATCAGAAGGTCAGCCAACTTGGGTAGAGACCCTCTGCTCAAGCACAGATCACTCTAGCCAGAAGATGACAGAAGAAAGAGAAACCAAGGAAGAAAACACTCATCCAACAAATACAAATCCAGAAATCAATACTTAAACCAGAAATAAGCACCTAAACCAAATGCACATGTCTAATCTAATGCCAGTAAAAGAACACAATCAACAACAATCAGGGCAACATAGCACCACCAGAGTTTAGCCATCCATCCAACTAAGCAAAGCTCTGAATATTCCAACACAGCTGAAGCAAAAGACAACAACCTTAAAACCAACTTTATGGAGATGATAGAGGTCCTTAAAGAAGAAATGAATAAATCACTTAAGGAAATTGAGACAAAGACAATCAAAAATATTGAAGGAAATCATTAAATCCCTTAAAGAATGTCAAGAAAATCAAGAAAAAAATGGTTGAAGGAAATGAATAAAGCTGTTTAAGACCTAAAGATGGAAAAAGAAGCAATAAAGAAAACACAAATTGAGGGGGCTGGAGAGATGGCTCAGCGGTTAAGAGCATTGCATGAGTTCAATTCCCGGCAACCACATGGTGGCTCACAACCATCTGTAATGAGGTCTGGTGCCCTCTTCTGGCCTGCAGGCATACACACAAACAGACTATTGTATACATAATAAATAAATATTTAAAAAAAAAACAAATTGAGGGAATTCTGGAAAAGCAAAATCTAGGTAAGTGAACAGAAACTAAAGATGCTAGCATTACCAACAGAAGACAAGAGATGAAATCGATAATTTGAAACAGAGTACACACTAGAAGAAATACATCAATCAAAGAAAATTTCTAACATAAAACATTCAGGAAACCCGGAATAGTATGAAAAGACCAAACCTAAGAATAATAGAAATAAAAGAAGATTCCCATCGCAAAGACCTAGAAAATATTTTTAACAAAGCCATAGAAGAAAATTTTCCTAATCTAAAGAATTACATCCCTATAAAGGTACAAGAAGCATCTAGAACACCAGATACATTGAACAAGAAAACAAGGTCTTGTTGCCACATAATAATTGAAACACGAAACACAAAACAAAGAATATTAAAAACTAAAAGAGGAAAAAGGACAAATAACATATAAAGGAAGACCTGTTCGAATTAGACCTGAATTCTCAATGGAGACTCTCAAAGCCAGAGGGCCTAGACAGATGTGCTGTATACTCTAAACTGATCACAGATGCCAGACCAGACAACCATACATACCCAGCAAAATTTTTAATCACCATAGATGGAGAAAACAAGATATTTCATGATAAAGTCAAATTTTAATAGTATCGCTCCACAAATTCAGCCCTACAGAAGGAAGGGCTCCATCCAAGGAAGTTAACTACACCCAGAAAAACACAGTCAATAGATAATCGCACACCAGCAAAACCCAAAGAAGGAAAACACACACATACACACACCCTTTGGGAGACTTCCTGCTCCCTGGATCAGTTTTGCCCACCCAGTTACAGCACTTGACTTCTCTTTCTGTTCTGATCTGTCAAATACTAACTCTGCAAGGAATTACTGCTCCATTGTTTCCATGTTCTGAACATTCTGACTTTTCTGCATGTTACAGTTAGGGACTTTCTGCCTGACCATTAGACCATGGTTAGGTTGCCTAGTAAGTTGCTTAGTTACCCATATATACAAGGAGAATTTCCTCATTTCCCTTACCCTGTATTTACTTGGATTCTTCTCTTACATAAACGATCAGAATCCCGTCTTGTCTCCATCTCTTGTGGCTCTTGTCCCATCCCATTCTCACTCCCTCTCTAGGGTCTCTGTTGAGCCGGGGCAACACACACACACACACACACACACACACACACACACACACACACTACAAAATAACAAGAATTAACAATCATTGGCCATTGATATCTCTCAATATCAATGGACTAAATTTCTTAATAAAAGGACGCAGACTAACAGAATGGATGTAAAAACAAGATATATCCTTCTGCTGCATGCAAGAAACACACTTCAATATCAAAGATAGACATCACTTCGGAGTAAGAAGTGTTGCATGAATTCCAATATGTATTAACAATAAAACCTGGAGTCAGGTATTAGGGGGTGAAAGCTGAAAGATCGGAGAAGTAGAGCAGCAGCCACTAGGGATCTTACCTCTGCTGCTCTCAACCCAAATAGAGGAAGAGCGCCTCTCTCCTCCCACCATCTATTCCTCTCTCCACCCAGTCATATCACTTCCTGTCTGTCAGTACGGACCTCCAGACCTCAATGGTTTACTAGTGGCTAGCTTCATTCTCTGATCTTCAGGCAAGCTTTATTTGTTATAGCGTAAAGAAAATAATC